CAACACACAAGGAGAACTTGTCAGAGTACACAGGGCAATACAGGAAGACACTTTTCACACCATCAAGAACACAGTGTGAAGGCACAACAAATACATTTGAGGACAAGTATCAAACAATGGAAGATCCAAACAAAGCAGAACCACAGATGTGGAAAGGAGAAACAGCGTTCAGGATCAAGAAAGGCACAAAGTTGCCAGAAACGTTACAGCAACAGTTTGCAACAAAGACACAGCCAAGGAGTGAGCCACAGAGGATCACACCACAAGTGATTCACTACAACCCGCGAACAAGGTTGAGAGAGAAAAGAACACCACCACGAGTAGACCGTACAGAGAAGGCCCATACTGGAAGAGAGTACATGTTGAGACTAGAACAGCGTTTTACACGCCAGAGCAGACACACGACGGGCCAGACATGGAAACAGACCAAGGAGGAGAAAGACAACACACAAGATTGTTAGAAGATGAATGGACAACACAGCCAGCAAAGACATCAGACAAGCCTTGGACAGGCTGGACAAACTTTGAGGAACATCAGGAGTTCCCAACACAACTTGAGTCAGATGATGAGGAACAACAACAAGGTGCAAAAGCAAAAGCAGTACAAGCACCCAAGCAACCAACACCACAGGAGACACTCGAACACTACGCGACACATGTCACTTACAGGAGTTGGTGTCCAATATGCGTACGGGCAAGAGGCAGACAGAACAACCATCCAAAGCAACACAGCAAGCTTCCAATCACTTGACTTTGGCTACATCAAAGGCTTTGATGATAGCAATGTGTATGAAATTCTCCCAATTGACATCCAGTCAGGGATGGTCATGGCATTACAACTGACAGACAAGAGACTGCTCTTCGACTATGCAGCTACACAGCTACAGCGCTTCCTCATCGAATGTGCAAGGACAACGCAGTGGCCAACAAGAATGGCAACATCACCACAAGGAACTCAGGAGCATACAGTATCACAAGGAGGAGTAGAACGAGCACACAGAACATTGTTAGCACAAATCAGAGCACTCAAGGCACAGATCAGACAGAGACAGTGCAACACATGCTACCAACACTGAAACAATATCCAAAACTCGAGCCGAAATTCTACAACGGGATCTGGCTTGGCAAGGATACAACCACAGGCGAATCCCTTCTTGGGATCTACAAAAGATTGTCAATCAGCAACTACTGGACTGTGTGCACACAGTTCCATGGAAGACACCAGCATCAGCGCTGCACACACCAACTCTCGCAACACCATTGACAATGCTAGCTACAAGCAAGGCACCACCATCACAGAAAGATGCAACAACTAGCACAGCAGCAGACAGAGCGCAACAGAAGAAGGCGATCAGCCAACAAAGCAGAAAAGAACAACAGAGCCAACATCACCCGTGGCTACATCACCAACACACCAGAAGCGGCCAGCACTGCCAGCACCACCACCTACATCACCCACAAGAGAAAGAGATGACACCATAGCAGCAACAGCGCACCACAGCAGAAAGACAAGCACTGGAGCGACCTACAACAGCCAAAGAGCAAAATGAGAATAAATGCCATCGAGGATCACAACCAAGGATGGTAAACAAACGCAAACAACATCCAATGAAGATGCAGAAGACATTCAACAATGAAAGGATCCTACTAGGGCCAATCATACATGACACAGAAGGCTTGGATCCACAACAGGTAGAACAAGGAATGAAGAAGGAAGTACAACAAATGAAAGAATCAATCAATCTTCACAGAGATTGATGGTAACACAATGACACCAGAACAACAAGCAAACATCATCGAGTCTAGATGGGTTCTCAAACAGAAACACAACGAAGTGCAAGCACGCATAGTAGCAAAGGGCTACACAGAACCCGTTACAGATCACAATCTCTTGTTTGCAAGCACACCGTTGTTTTGCATACTGAGGATACTCCTCAGAATGGCATTGGTGTACAACTGGTCGGTTAGCGCCGGAGATGTCAGTGTTGCATTTCTACAGGCAGAAGCAATCTCCGACAACTTGGTAATGTCTACATCATGATCTATGTAGACGATCTCCTCTTCATAGGAGTACAGAGCAGCATCAACATGCTCTTCAGCAGGACACAAAAGGAAGTCCTCCTGAGACACACAGGCGACCTGACAGTTGGATCAACAATACATTTCCTTGGCAGGAACATCTCACACAAAGGCGACGACATTGACATCAGCTTGAACAACAACTATGTTGACATCATCCTAGAAGAATCAGGAATGAACACATGCAACCCAGCACCATCACCAGGAGTACCACACGTGAAAGGTACAGCAGAAGATGAAGCACCACTAGATCAAGAACAACACAAGCAAATACAGACGCCTTGTTGGCGAAATACAATGGCTAGCGTACACACGACCAGACCAGACATCAGCTATGGAGCAAAGGAGCTAGCAAGATCACTACAAGCACCAACACAACTTGACAACAAGAAGCTCAAGCACATGATCAGATACCTTAAAGGAACAAGGTGCTCGAGACACAACCTGCGACCAAAGATACGAACACAGGACAAACGAGTTCCACTCAACATTGACAAATACACAGATGCCAACTAGGCATCGTGTGAGACAACAAGGAAAAGACAAACAGGATTTGTACTGTACTTCTTTGGAGCAGCAGTACATTATGGCAGCAGAACACAAGCAACAATAGCACTTTCATCAGCAGAATCAGAGCTGTACGCGATTGGCACAGCAGCACAGGAGAGCCTCTACATCAGCAACTTCATCAAGGAAGCATTCGAAGTACGCACCAACATCAGGATACACACAGACAGCAGCGCAGCAAAATCAATAGAAATGAGAGAAGGTACATCAAAGAAAGCAAAGCACATCGACACCTCTTCATACAACAACTTGTCAAGAGCAAATTCATCACAACGCGCAAAGCAAAATCAGAAGAGAACCCAGCTGACACACTGACAAAGTTTGTCAGCTGTGACACCCTCAACAAGCACTTGTGCAACGTTGGCCTGTGAGGCCACACCACATCAGTTTCACACCAGTAAATACAGTAGTCAGCACAGGTTGTTAAACAACAGGCCTAACAGCCGGCACACTTACAATCTTTTAGGGTAGATACATCAGCCATGGATCGACACTGTCTTTATGACCACTACATCTTTTCCCCATCATCTTTTGCGCATGGCAGTTTGCACATGTCTCAAGCAACGTGTTTGATACATCTCTGCAGCCATTTTTGTTTACATCAGTTTGGTCTGGAGGTACATCGGTTCCATACATCGCAACGGACATGCAGCCAATTACACCTCTGCCCATGATCGCACATGCCCGTTTGCTGGAGAGATACAACGACCGCATGACCACATCGGTGGTCGACATCGGCTTCATCAGGGCTGACAACATCAAGGGCACAGACCATGGCATTACAGCCTGGCACAACCTCTCGTTGGCCAATCACAGCAATGCGCTGCACATCGCCCTCGCCACGGAGGAGTACATCTCGTATGTGGGAGACACCGACATCGTTGGAGAAGATCGGATACATCCCGGGCAACCTACGTTACCCGTCATTTGACTTTACAGACCTTACAACCAATCCACATGACGCGGTGATGACAACACTGTTTCTGATGAGCGAAGGCAAGTTGGCTACAGCGAACACAACAGACCTCTACATCATTGCGTGGCACTGTTATTTGACAAGCTTTTGGATCCTACATCGAGGTCCAAAGCAAATACATTCAACAGAGGCTACATGTTGCAGCAGATGCAGATCTACAGCAACAACATTTGGTTGTTGAGCTCTACAGAGAAGGACAGCCTTACAGCTGGGCGTTTGGTACATCGCAAATGTTTCTTTGACATCTACAACCAGTACACCTGGGAGGCAGGCTACATGCACTCGTACAACGCCATCCTGTCCCTTGACAATTTGCTTACGGCAGACAGCCAGGACACCATCTACGCTGGACTTTCACAAGCTCTTGATTACACAGGACTTTCTTCGCATTCCTCTCGTACATGCGGCTCAGACCACAAGATCTCGACCACAGCAGTTAAGCTCCTGGAAGAGATGCGAGGACACAATGACCATGCTCATGCTCTACCCGTGAGTACATGGAGAAGATCAACGATTACAGGAAGAGCCTTTACAAAGCAGGCACAATCACGGAGAACATGGAGGAGGACAAGAAGAGAAAGAGAGAGTCTGCATCAACCAATTTTGGCACACCGGATTTTGGGATCTACATCCTGCAGACATCAGGCCACGTGAGTACAGTTTGTATAGATGTTCGAAACATCAGAAGCATCGCTGTACAAAGAGCAACAGCCAGTAGAGCTGCTAACAACTTTTACATCAGACACATTTAGGTCATCAGGTGCTTACACAGTTAGTTCCACTTTAACATTCTTGGCTTCTTTGGGTGCGAGTGAAGCATGGAGAATCTGTCTTGCAGAATTCTGTTGGCCCAGCATATCTTGCGCGCTTTGCAGTGTGTACACTTCCTCCCACAAAAGGTACCTGTAAGGGTACCTCCACTTCTTGCAACTTGAAGTGGCAATGCCGGAGGGGCACTTAGGAAACTTGCTGCTGCAAGCGCATCTGACAAACCTGCATTTCTCTTTCAACATGCCAGTACCGGCATCCTGCCGGTTGACCAAACTGGTGCATTGTGTCACTATGGCCTCAAAAGGTAGGTTGTGGGTCGGTTTCGGTCTGGGAGGGGGCCAGATTGACTTTAGGTTGGTGCAGGGTTGGTTTAGTTGAGGATTTTTGCTGGGTTCAGTGTGGTTCAGGGTGTTTGAGGTGGGTTCGGGTTGGGTTTAGGGTTTACGGGACACAGGTTCATGGTAGGTTTAGGGCAGGTTTAGGGTAGGTTTAGGATGGGTTTAGGGGGGGCTCGTGGCTCAACAACAAGTCGCTAGCACAATCGCTTTGCCCGCCGGTTACACTGCAGCATGCCTAAACAGTTGATTCTCAAATGCAGGCAAGCTTCAGGCCGTCCATCAAGACAGGGAGCAGGAATTCCGCATCCTTCTGCCAACAGCAATCCCACTCATTCAAAATAGCACGTATATTATGCGGCAAGCGACGGCAAGGAGTCTTTTGACGATATCTGGATGGCGCATGAACAGCTCATCGCAGCCATAGTAGTAATTGTCGCCTTGGACGGACAATGCTCTACAATTGGATCACCGTGCATGCAAATTCAGGCTCAAAGGCGTGAGCGTGCAAACGGCAAGGAGTCTGCGCCAAGTTGAGCTAAGCTGCGATCGGCTCGAATGGTCAGGAGGTCTTGGATCATGGCCTCCCGTCTCAGAGTCTCAGAGTTTCAGAGTCTCAGAGTCTCACCTCCCTCAAGCTGAGAAAACCGTAACTCGAACGAGCTCGCCTTGCATGTTTTCAAGCTGCCACTTTGCAGTGCCCAAAGCAGCGGCGAGATTGATTGAGACCCAACGGAGATGTCCAGCAACCACACCTGGGGCTTTTCATTGCATTGTTGCCCCTTTGTCAAACCAAAAATCCGTTTCATGTGGTTCTGTGCCGTTTTCCAGAGCTGGCTTGTTCCTCAAAAAGCATGGATTGCAAGTACCCAATGTACAACAGCCTGGGTGTTTGGCCCGCCTTGGAGGAGGGTTTTGAGCAACCACGCGATCAATCGGGTGGAAGGCAAAAGACACGGAAGAAGGCAGTCACCCCTTGAAGAACATGATAGAACATGACCTCTGCACATCTGTCTGCTTTGTCTTGCCAGTCCGGGGCACCGCTCGTTTCCCGCGAGGTGCCACTGCGATGGCCTTCCGAAGCTGCTTCTCCGAGTTGGTGTTCACTGCCTTCATAACCACGGTGGAGCCCTCGAGGATGGTGCGCACCAACATCTTGGAGATCAGGGTCAAAGACCAGCGGAAAGCGTCTTGGGCGACTTCCTGAGCGGACGAAACAGGGCGGACATGGCCTCGTAAAACACTGGACTCGACACTTCCCCGTGGCAAGCAGCGTCGGTGGTGAGCTCTTTGACCTCAGAGGGCCACAGCATCCCGTGAACCTGGCCCCAAAGGTCCATGCCGTCTCGACGAAGCAGGACACGAAGGGTGCAAACAGCTCCTGACGATGCGTCAGCTCATAGCGGAACCGTTTTGCTGGCAGCCCAACTAAAGCATCTTGCAAACAGTCCGTGGGGATGGCATAGCCAACGTGACGAAGTCCCAATGCGGAGATATCCTCAACCATCCTTGCAGTTTGCTTGGCACAATGTAACATATTTGATCGTTTGCCGGAACATCTGGATGATAAGCACATTGGCCACTATCCCACTCGTAACACGTAGCCGCTCATTGACAAGCGGCGCTCACATTGTCTACGCAAGACCGCTGATGCAAGCGGGTCCTTCTTGGCTCCCGGTAAATTTCCATGGTCATCTCGACCTGTGGTATGCCATGAAGCAGCTGAAAGGACACATGAGACCAAAAAATCCGTTCAAGTCATGTCCGAATCACATCAGGGTTAACATCGAGCCAAGTCACGACTTTGTCGGCGATGAAGTGAAGTCGTGAGGACGACTGCTTAAAGTGGTCTTGTCCTGCACAAAACAAGCCACACACCGACTGGTCAGACCCATGAGCTCATATCACATTGGCCTGCTGGAGCAGCCAGAAAGAATCTGTTGTACACTTCATTGCGCATGTGGACCAATGCCTGACATTTGCATACAATTGAACAATCAATTGAACACAAATTGAATTGGATCTTGTGCAAAGCCTGGCACTGCGTGGCGTTGCTCCACCGGGCCTGCTCCGTGAGGCTTTTGATGAAGCGCTCCAAGGCCTTCTCCTGATTGACTGAGGAATTCCAACATAGCCGCAGAATCCGCCGACCCCTTCTCCTCAAAGGGGAAGGCGCACGGGAAGGGTGGTTACAGCACAAGTCCAAGGTTGGTTGGTACATGAGCATAGCCGAAGATTCAACATTGTCAGCGTAAGCAATACCGTCATCGTAGCATCCTTTGCACCTCAAAGACGTGTCTTTTTCGTCATCATGATCATTATTGTCGTCATCCGTGTCTTTTTCGTGTGCGTTTCAATTGTCCTGTTAGAGCCAGACATCATGCCCGTGAGGAGGGACTTGCATTCGCAGTCTGTTCTGGACTAGCCACGCTCTTTGCTGCCACTACCGTCGCTGCTGGCTGGCGTCGAGGATGATGCTGATGATGATGACGATGATGATGATGATGACGATGATGACCACCATCATGGTGATGATGACACGCTCATCATCATCACATCATCATCGTTGTGACCTGATTGGAGATGAGGATGCGTAGACATGATTATCATCATGACTGTTGGTGATGCAGAGGATGCACGATGATGGTTATCATCCACGATGATAACGGTGATTATGACGATGCTGATGATGATGACGATGATGAAGATGATGACACGCTTCTCAGCATATCACATCATAATCGTTGTCGTCCTTATCTTTTTTATATACGTGTCAAATGTAGCGTTAGACCCAATTGGAGATGCAGAGGGTGCGTAGTCATGATTTCCATCATGACTGTTGGTGATGCAGAAGATGCACGATGATGGTTATCATCGATGATGACAACGGTGATGATGACGATGACTATGATGATGATGATGATGCTGATGATGATGATGACACGCTTGTCATTATATCAAACATCATCGTTGTCGTCCTTATCTTTTTTATACACGTTTCAAGGGTAGCGTAAGACCCGATTGGAGATGCGGAGGGTGCGCAGTCATGATTTTCATCATGCTGTTGGTGATGCAGAGGATGCACGATGATCGTTATCGTCCATGATGACAACGGTGATGATGACGATCATGACGATGATGATGATGACGATGATGACCACCATCATGGTGATGATGACATGCTCATCATCACATCATCATCGTTGTGACCTGATTGGAGATGCAGAGGATGCGTATAGACATGATGTGACTGCTGGTGACGATGATGGTTATCATCCATGAAGATGACGATGATGATGACGATGATGATGACGATGATGATGATCGTTAGACCCGATTAGAGATGCAGAGGGTGCGTAGTCATGAATATCATCATGACTGTTGGTGATGCAGAGGATGCACGATGATGGTTATCGTCCATGATGACAACGGCGAGGATGACGATGACGATGATGATGATGATGCTGATGATGATGACGATGATGATGACGACGATGATGACCACCATCATGGTGATGATGACACGCTCATCGTCATCACACCATCATCGTTGTGACCTGATTGGAGATGCAGAGGATGCGTAGACATGACTATCATCATGACTGCTGGCGATGCAGAGGATGCACGATGATGGTTATCATCCATGATGATGACGATGATGATGACGATGATGATGACGATGATGACAATGATGATGATGACGATGATGATGATGATGACGATAATGACCATCTCAGTTCATCATCATCATCATCATCATCACGGTGCTCATCATGATCATCATCATCAGTCCCGTTAGAGCCGATTTGAGATGCAGAAGATGCGTGGACATGATTATCATGATGACTGCTGGCGATGCTGTGGATGCGTCATGATGATTATCATGTCAGTTCATCATCATCATCAACATCATGCCATCATCAGCCCCGTTAGAGCCGATTTGAGATGCAGATTATGCGTGGACATGATTATCATGATGCCTGCTGGTGATGCTGAGGATGCTGTCAGTTCAGCATCATCATCATCATCATCATTATCATCATCATCATCATCATAAAAGCGGCGCATTTTCACGCGAAAGCAAAGCAAAAATGCACCGCACCCTGGCTACAATAGGGGACCCACCGCGGCCCCGACTTGCGGCGAGAAAACTGGTTGGCTTGCGGGGTGACCGGCGATGAGCCTCTACTGCAAACGCACCGTCACGGCACATGCTCCCAGCAGCAGCAGAATTGTAGGCACTTACAGCGGCGCATTTTCTTACCAGATTATTACAAAAACGCACCAAGCCAAGGAAAGAAAACGATCGCTCCAGTTCATTTCAGCCCTTCCCAAACTGGTTTGGGGTCGGCGGCACTGGGCGGCAGCCCTTAAGCGGCTCTTGGGGTAGCATGTCGCTTTAGCTATAGACCCTCGCCACTTGGTCGTGATGCGCTGCCCAAATCCGGCACCTCTGCATCACCAGCTCGGGCTTGCGGTTTTGCTTGCCTGTGGGAACCCTCGCAAAACATCGCGTGTGTGCAGGGTTTGGGCCATGTGGCTGACATCATCAGGGTCTGGGGTTGGGCCTGGGTGATGCTTCAGCAGGGCTTGGTCTGCATGATCCAGACTTCCTTCCAAAAAGCCTCTCAACCCAAAAAGCACTGTTTTTTAGAAGGTATCGGAGGGATATAAGCGAGGCTCATTTTCGCGCACTTTGGCGCCAAGCGCTGCCGGGCATGCCGGCGATGCTGGGCCCTCGCTCTACAAAACGCTATAAATACCGTCAAAAACTGCTGTGCTGAGCGGTGGGCTGTTGTTCTGTCCGTTTTGCTTTTGCTGTGGCTGGCTCGCGTGCTGCGCGGTCCTTGCTTTTTTCGCGTTAGTTTCGGGCCTTTTGGCGCGCGCGCACGCGCGACCCCAGCCACAAAACGCTGCTATTTACAGTGTTTTGTTGCTTTTGCGTTTCCGGGCTGGCTTGCGGGCTGTTCTTTTTGGGCTGCTGTTTCTGCGGCCTCTGGCGCGCGCGCGCGCGCGACCCCATGTGAGCCTTCTGGTTTGGGTCCCGGCTAGGGCCCAGAAAGCTGGCATCCCCGGCATCATCTGGGGTTGGGGTGGGCAACATGCATAACCTAACCAGCCATATCATAGCACAGGATACGTTTCTCATACAAACAACATGACATGACATGGTATAACTTCAAAGAGGCGTAGCCGGCTAGAGGCCGCAGGCCCAGAAAATATTGCCAATACTGCCTTTGGTCTCTTGCCGCCATGATGGCCATGGCCCTGCCTGCTGCTGAGGCTTGCCCAAGATGCTGCGCAGGAGACGCTCCTGGAACCAAGGAACCGACTAGGAACTGCACCGGACGAGAAACGGTTGTTGCGCACCGACAAGTCATTTGACATATCGTAGGCCGCTCCACGTTCTCCCAGAGCCAAGTCCAGGCAACTTCGTGTTCCGAGCTCCACTCTCGGGGCACCTGCAAAACGTGGACACGAAACGGAATCCGGAAAGCTTGCGGCGAGTTGCCAAGGATCTTAGCGCAGCCAGCATCACTGCTTTGAACTCATTGAGTTGGATTGGACCTCTATACCTCAGCGCGAACTTTGCTCTGTGGAGTCGACAAACTGCAAACGCTTCCCTGAAGCCAGGAGGCTTGGCCAACCGCAGAGCCAAAATGTCACACTCCTCCTGCAGCCGATAGGAGTTTGCTGCCTAGGTCAAAGAAACCAAAGGTAGGACATAGAATTGAGCAATGGATGTTCTTCCAAACATACCAGTGACTGCACCGTCGGTAGTGGATTGAAATCACTCAAGCGGTAACAGCAGCAAACAAGCCACGTCTGTTGCTTCATCCATCCCAGAGGAAGCAAAATTTGCATCAAGGTGCATTGGTGACGATGGAGGCAAACTGCTCCAGCACCAGTGTCATCCAGTTGCCTTTGTGTGTAACGAGATTACTCCAAGTGCTGCAACTTCATGTCTGGAAAAAACACCGCTGAAAGCCAAGTCTCTGCTACTGAAGCCCATGACCGCTGCATTGAAGATGAACCTTTGCTCGTGCTGCCAGATTCAGTCCATGAAATCCCGGCCCATCCCGGACATCTAACACGAATCTAAGGAATTGCACATCTCGTTGAAGGTCGTCCTCGATTGAAATGGCAAGAGCGGCTCAGCGTTCCGCTCCCTGAGGCTGGCACGGCACCTTCATGGTTTCCATGGCGCGCTTGGCCTCTCGAGCCTCCCTGGTCTCTTTGTTCTCTTTGGCTCCGTCTTTCCTGGGCTTCCGGGCTTCCGGGCTTCGCTTCCAGCTATAAGCTGGAGCATTGCGGCGAGGAGCCAGGTGGAACTGTTGCCTTTGGTACTGATGGTTTTGTGAATCGACGAGTCGTTCTCGGAGCCTGATCAGTCACTGATCAGTCCGATCATTGCGCATGACAACACAAGCCAAGCGCTCCTTGGTCTTCTTTCTCCTCTTCCTCTTCCTCCTGCAAATCGGGACAACACCGGGCCATCTACAAATCCTCGCAGCCTCTTTCCGTGCAGCGCTCCTGGGCCTTGTTGGCCGTTTTCCAGCTCTTCGTGATGATCTGGGACAAACTAACTCAGGGTGCCCCAAGCCGTGCTTGGGGCCAAGCCTTGATGCGACTGGCATATTCGCGGCGGATGAAGATGTAAGCACCTTGCATCAATATGTGGTCTACGGCGTGCAAACAGGACGCGAGAGCACTTTGGCGCAAGGCTTGCAGAGTTCAGAGAGAGGCACCCCCGACGTAATTCAGAATGGACATCAGGCCGCTCTTTGCTTTCGAGGAGAAGCGAGCTTGGAGCTCTGTCTCAAAGAGCTCCACGATGGCATCGCGGAACATTCCCACACCTCATGCACAGCTCTATCTACATCCTTCCTTTCAAACTTGCAGGATATTTGGCTCCTTTCAGATCCCGAAATGTGGATTGGCACGATTGGCATGCCAGGCCAGGGTGCGAGGAGCGGTCACGTCCAAATCCAGATGTTGGAATCCCAGTGTTTCCGTAGTCACTTTCAGCGCAGACGGGTTGTCCCTGGGCAAGAAACGGAGAAACGGATGACAGGCAAACGTAGGCCGTCAGTCATCACGCAAAGCAGTCAAGCATCATGGAGGCAATGATTGTATTCCTGGCACAGGCGATGTCTTTATACACAGCCAAGCGAGGCCCGAATGCGGCAGTGAATTCAGACGCTTGATGCAGCCGAATTGCAAGCCATTCATAAATCGCATTGACTAAGATGGCAAAGCTGCATCAACTACAATCTGTAAGCCCGTTGCGCATACATGTGTTATTTTTCCTTCCAAGCAAGCTGCCATGACAGCTCGCGGCGTCTTGAAGAGGGGTTGAAGAGTTGGGGCAGCCTCAAAGATTGCGCTATAAATGGCTTCTCCTGGCAAATCTCAAGCAACGCTGTGATTACTGCAGAAGCAGCAAGTCCTGCCACATCGCGCGAAGTTGCCATGGTAATGAAGGTGTACCATGCCTGCAGTGCAGGCAATACCGTCGAACGATGTTTTACCAAACCATGTTGCGGATTGACTGGCCTCCTGTGTTTCTGCCACAACGTCGGACGGCAGCTTTATTTCGTCAAAGGAGCTCTCCTATGGGCAAAGCATGCAAGAAACTCACCTGCATGATGAGAAACTCTCAGGGTCTGGCATTGACCTCCAAGACTTCTATCCTTGAATGGCTGAGCGGCCCATGTCAGCGAATGAAGGCTGCATCTCTTAGACTAACAGTCAGTACTAACAGCCCTTCATGTTCCGCATGATACACCGCCAACGCACTGGTAGAGGACAGAAACCAATACATCTCTGTGTACCAAATCCTCAAGGCAAGGCTCACTTCTGCAGTCTCGTGCTCTTCTGGAGACTCGTCTGCCGCCTGCAAAAGACTTTTAGACAATGATTCCAAAAACGTTCTAGGAGTTCAGTTTCAATCTGCACGGATCAAACTGTTGCAGGCTGCCCAATGCTTCCAGTCTTCAAGTGACATTTGCATAATGAAGGCGGTGCACATGTCTATAAAGAAATCTTGTATTTGCATGTCAACATTGTTTGCATTGGGAAGAGCACAAAAATATATATATATATATATATATCCAGTGCAGGTCATGCAGCCTGGACTGACGACTTCCCTGAATTAGCATTACATCCTCCGAATGCTTCAGGGCCCTTTGACACCCATGCCACTGCCTCTCCGTATGCGTCTTCGGCATACAGCTCGCTTTCCTTCGAGGCAACCAGTCGCAACATCTCAATCTCACGGCTGTAGACTCGCGCCTCCTCGCCCGAATCGGACGCCGTCATAGAACCTCTGCATGTTAGGGGCTGTCAAATGCTGCCACGTGGCATGAGTGCCGAGCTTGAGCTGCCTATCTGGAGGCCAGCTGAGCCAAAGTGCAAGAATATACCAATCAAACACCGAATGACACTGAATGCAGAAACCAGTCGTTTATGCCAATGTGGTTGGAAGACTGAACCAACCGTGATGCGCGCGCGCGCGCATGCGCGCAAGCGGCGTGTAAAGGCGGATCGCTTTGATAAATTTCATTTGATCAGCGCTCCTTTTCTGGACTCATGGTGAAACTCGTCAATCGGCGGCCGAGGCGTTCAGCTCCGCCAGATTCTTGGAGACCTGGCCGAACCATCGAACCGACGCCTCCTATGAGATTTGGTGAAAAGTTGACTCAAGGGAAAATGTTTGGCTTTAGCACGTGGCCCACATCTGCTTTTGGTTACCTCTTGCGCTTGGCCTGTCCGCGGGACTTTGAATGTGGCTTGTGCGCCTAACTAACAGCCTTCCAGCAACACCTCCACGAAAGCGCCTGTGCTACTTGCTCGACTTCCCTCTCTCCCTCCCTCACTCCACTCCACTCCACTCCACTCCACTCCACTCCACTCCACTCCGCTCCGCTCCGCTCCGCTCCGCCCCACCCCGCCCCGCCCCGCCCCGCCCCGCCCCGCCCCGCCCCGCTCCGCTCCCTCACTCCCTCCCTCCCTCCCTCACTCCTTCACTCCTTCACTCCCTCACTCCACTCCACTCCACTCCACTCCACTCCACTCCACTCCACTCCACTCCACTCCACTCCACTCCACTCCACTCCACTCCACTCCACTCCACTCCACTCCACTCCACTCCACTCCACTCCACTCCCCTCCACTCCACTCCACTCCACTCCACTCCACTCCACTCCACTCCACTCCACTCCACTCCACTCCACTCCACTCCACTCCACTCCACTCCACTCCACTCCACTCCACTCCACTCCACTCCACTCCACTCCACTCCACTCCAGTCCACTCCACTCCACTCCACTCCACTCCACTCCACTCCACTCCACTCCACTCCACTCCACTCCACTCCACTCCACTCCACTCCACTCCACTCCACTCCACTCCACTCCACTCCACTCCACTCCACTCCACTCCACTCCACTCCACTCCACTCCACTCCACTCCACTCCACTCCACTCCACTCCACTCCCCTCCCCTCCCCTCCCCTCCCCTCCCCTCC